TGGAGGAGCAGGACAGAGGGGGGGGTGGAGGAGAAGTAGAGAGAGGGTGGAGGAGAAGGAGAGGGGGGGAGGAGAAGGAGAGGGGGGGGGAGGAGAGGAGAGGGGGGGGAGGAGAAGGAGAGAGGGGGGGGAGGGGGAAGGGTGAGAGGGGGTGGAGGAGAAGGAGAGAGGGGGGAGGAGAAGGAGGAGGAGAGAGAGGGGGTGGAGGAGGGAGAGGGGTGAGAGGAGGGTGAGGAGGGGGGAGGAGAAGGAGAGATGAGGGTTTGGAGGAGGAGGAGTGGGTGGAGGAGAAGGAGAGAGGGGGGTGGAGGAGACAGGAGAGAGGGGGGGGGGGGGAGGACAGCAGGAGAGAGGGGGGAGGAGCAGGAGAGAGGGGGTGGTAGAGAAGGAGAGGGGTGTAGACAAGGGGAGGGGGGTGGAGGAGAAGGACGAGAGGGGGTGGGGTGGAGGAGAAGGAGAGAGGGGGGGGGGAGAGGAGAAGGAGATAGGGGGTGGAGGAGGAGGAGAGAGGGGGTGGAGGAGCAGGAGAGAGGGGGTGGAGGAGAAGGAGAGAGGGGGTGGAGGGAGAGAAGGAGAGAGGGGGTGGAGGAGAAGGAGATAGGGGGGTGGAGGAGAAGGAGAAGGGGAGGGGGGTTGTAGGAGAAGGAGAGAGGGGGTGGAGGAGAAGGAGAGAGGGGGTGGAGGAGAAGGAGAGAGGGGGTGGAGGAGAAGGAGAGAGGGGGTGTAGGAGAAGGAGAGAGGGGGTGTAGGAGAAGGAGAGAAGGGGTGGAGGAGAAGGAGAGAAGGGGTGGAGGAGAAGGAGAGAGGGGGTGTAGGAGAAGGAGAGAAGGGGTGGAGGAGAAGGAGAGAGGGGTGGAGGAGAAGGAGGGGGTTGAGGAGAAGGACAGGGGTCTGGAGGAGAAGGAGAGGGGGCTGGAGGAGAAGGAGAGAGGGGGTTTGTTCTGTTTGATGTGAAGCCATTTGAAGTTAATTGACCTCTTCACTGGAGGATGTTTGATCTGAAGCCATGGGAAGTTAAAACCTCTTCTGGAAATATCTCAATTTCCGCCTAAAATGACATATCCAAATCTAACTGCCTGTAGCTCAGGACCTGAAGCAAGGACATGCATATTCTTGATACTATTTGAAAGGAAACACTTTGAAGTTTGTGGAGATGTGAAATTAATGTAATGTAGTTACTTACTGTGATGTAGTTACTTACTGATCTGAAAGTGGATATTTTCCTTATTCCGCGCTGGAATCTAAACTGTGGTCACTCAGAGTCCTCATCCATTCGTTCTGTGTCACTCTCCCGGTCAATTTCTGCAATAATTGGACTTCGATTTAGCTTTTCCACTCTTGGTAGCCAAGTTTTACTTTTTCTGTTTTTAGAAAAATGTACAGAAGAGAACGAATCGCTGTGTAACGTAAACTTCCGTTCGTCCTGTTTTCTTTCCCCTTGAGAATTAATACGGTTACGCACAGCTCTAGCCTGATGGCTGTTTGTCGTACAAAGGGTGTTCACATACTACTGTAAAGCCCAGCTCATTGGCTATCTAGCTAGCTATGTTTTATAAGGATAAGTGGTCATTGGTCCAAGACACTGTCAATCAAGTGAACACCGCTCGTCTCATTGGTGCGTAATGATGGCTGACCTTCATGGGCTAATTGACGTGCTGTGTAGCCAATAGGTAATGTAGAATGATGAAACATGTTTGGTTGCCTTCTAGAGTGTCTGAGGATTGCACGGAAACCAAATTTGACCGGGTTGAGGATTAGATTTCATAAATTGTTTTGTTGTTGAAAGAGTCGGAATTCATGCAAAACGCTGTACACAACATGCAAACAAAACTACGCTACATTTTATCTCTGGGACCCTCAGGATGACAAATCAGAGCAAGATTACTGAATGTAAGTACATTATTTACTGTTAGAGGTGAATGTATCAAACCAGTTGCCTTGATAAAAGTGTTTTGTTGTTGTGTACTATCCTCAAACAATAGCATGGTATCTTTTCGCTGTAATAGCTACTGTAAATTGAACACTGCAGTTAGATTAACAATCATTTAAGCTTTCTGACTATATAAAACATGTCTATGTCCCAGAAAATTGGCTGTTGTTCACAACGCCATTCTAGTCAAATATCGCATATTGAGCAACAACTGTCCCGATTTCGGGACACTGATCCAGCAGAGGTTTTAACTCACCTCCTCACTGGAGGATGTTTGCTCTGAAGCAATGGGAAGTTAATCTCTAAAAGTCTAAGCCGTTGGGGGGGCAAAAAAGACAGTCAAAAAATAAATCAAAAGGAATAATGTTTTGAAGTGTCTGTCCTATATCTAGGAGATGTAAGAAAGATCAGGAAATATATATTTTTTGGGACACATATTTAACCCCTTATTTTTGTTGGCACAAAACTACCTCCGTACTTTGATTATTTTTTTTATTGATTACCTTCAGACGAGTCCCATGACACGTGTGTGGGTCATAGAGCAAAACAGAGAACACCATTGTGTGCGTGAGAGTCTCATCTTTCCATAGCGTGGTCATACCATTCAGACACTACAGACGTTTTTGTAAGAAGACCGATTTTTACCCCCCAAAAAAGGGGTTGAATATGGTAAAAACTTGTTAAAAAATATATAATTTCCTGATCTTTCAGATATAGGACAAACACTTCAAAAAAACTTTATTTTTGGACTGTCTGTTTTTCCATGTATGAATCTGTTATTCAATGCGTTTCTATCGGCTAACAGCAGTAAGGGCAAATGTAATGTTTAATCAAATATTTTTAAAGATATTTTTTTTAGATACCTAAAGGGGTCCTAAAATTGAAAATCAAATAGCTAAATGATTCTTGGTAAGACTTGTTGACCGTCAGATAAGCTTGTTGACCAATCAGGAACTGATTATGACTGCACGTCACATAATAATTTAACACATTCATAAATGTTTTTACGTGGTTAATATAATTGATTACTCTTATCACTCGTATTTCATATGTCACATCGATTCGCAGACACTTATGCTTTGAAGCTGGTAAAGTCGTCTCGCGCAGCTACTGCTGGTCAGAAACACACTTCCCCAAGTTCTGGGACAGTGCTAGTCAGAAACACACTTCCCCAAGCTCTGGGACAGTGCTAGTCAGAAACACACTTCCCCAAGCTCTGGGACTGTGCTGGTCAGAAACACACTTCCCCAAGCTCTGGGACAGTGCTAGTCAGAAACACACTTCCCCAAGCTCTGGGACAGTGCTAGTCAGAAACACACTTCCCCAAGCTCTGGGGCAGTGCTGGTCAGAATCAAAGCTAGCTAGCTGTTGGATACAAACAATGTTCTCCCCCCAAAACATAGCGAAATGACATCATCTGTTTCAGTAGCTATAGTTAGCTATCTAACTCTCTAGCTAGGTGTCATCTAAAATACCCCTAATTTATAAAACAGTTTTCGTATTTGGTGGATTGTCGGACCCACTAGCCATGCTAATAACGTTAGCTTGGGGCAACAGGGCTAGGTAGCTTGCTAGCTTTGTATAGTTTGTTATCTAGCTAGCTAGCTAGTTATTTTCCTGAACTGAAGTTCGATTTCAATAGGAAAACAACAAGTGGCTTCGTAGCTAATACTTAGTCACATGAATTCCTAAATCATTGCTAAGAATATTGAAAATGATTGCAGTTTCTGGATATTGTTTTCAGGCTGGTTGCATTGGTGCTAGCTAGTATCAAGTTAAAGCTAGCTAGCTAGCTATCCTAGAAATTGGTAAAAACATCTATATCAAAGATATTTGTGAGTGACTTTGTCATACTGCAAACCAAAGTCAACATAGTAGGGAGACAGCCTACCTCCAGTTTACAAACTGTCGTCAATGTTGATGGTGCTTGGCTTGCGCATGCAAAATTCAGCTCACACAACATTCTAAAATATAATTTTGTTATTTGATGCGTCAAATTATAAGCTTATTTGACGTGTCAAATAGTGTTATTTGACGTATATTTTTTGACACACAAAGACCCAAACGGCGTTCCATAGTTATAGTTTGTATCTCTATCTACAGAATTAAATTAAACTCAAAAGTATTACATTGTATCTCTGTGGTTCTAACTATCCATTGTGAGACATTCTAGAACAGACAAGATACAGTTCATAAGTACTGGTGTTCAAATCATAGTGGATGGGAAATGTAGCCTGGTCCAAGTAGGCAAGCCAGCACAAACAGATTTGGGACCAGGCTAGGAAGAACACACCTGTCCTGTCGCCCTCGATCACAACAACGCTCAAAACCACATCAGACTCTCTTCCTGACTCTCACATTTGGTTCTCTTCCTGGTTCTCTTCCTGGTTCACTTCCTGGTTCTCTTCCTGGTTCTCTTCCTGGTTCACTTCCTTCTCAAAGCGTCTCCTTGGGAATAGACCATAGGTATTTCTCCTCACCCCTGTCCTGTCCTCCTCTTCTCCTCCCGTCTGTCGATCTCTCATTACCCTTTCTTTCGTTCATGCTGTTATTGTTTGGTGTTTGTTTTTTTTATGTCGACCCACAACTGAAGGGTTCTGTTGCATGCTATTTACTGTCTTTATCCCCAAACTATGTGACTTGTCTATTGGATGTGTGTCTTTAAAAATCAATGTTGTTCTTTTAATCTTCATGAACAAACACTGTCTTCTCTCAATAGCATTTTAGATGCACATGTAGGTTACATATCCCAGACAGAGATAATGTTTAGAATAGACAGAAGCTTATTCACATTATCATAGTGATAAACAATGTCCCTACACATTGAAACTACCACTTGATCGGCCGATAGCAATAGATTGTAGCTATTCTTGAGAATACCTTTAAATAGTTACATTCCTGCTACAGTAGCCAAAACCTGTATTTGTCTAGTAAAGTTAACACCCATTTTCTGGTATTTGTAACACAACTATCAACAGGACCATTCAGAAAACCACCCATCCTGATTTGCTTTCAGTGTGCAGCATACTCCAACACTAGAGTAGGTTTTATAATCTGTTAGTTAGTAGTATTCATCGAAGACAGACAGACAGACAGACAGAGAGACAGACAGACAGACAGAGAGACAGACAGACAGACAGACAGACCAACCAGAGACCACTATGTTAGTAGTAGTCATCAGAGACAGACAGACAGACAGACAGACAGACAGACAGACAGACAGACAGACAGACAGACAGACAGACAGACAGACAGACAGACAGACAGACAGACAGACAGACAGACAGACAGACAGACAGACAGACAGACAGACAGGCCAGTGACCACTGTCTCAGAGTTCAGACCAGGGTCGAGGAGCTCTCTGCTCAGTCGTTCTCTCTGCATGGTTAACTCCTCTCCTCCCTCCATCAGGACATTCTATCGCTTCGAGGCTGCCTGGGACAGTGCCATGCACAACTCCCTCCTCCTGAACCGTGTCACTCCCTACGGAGAGAAAATCTACATGACCTTGTCGGCCTACCTAGAGGTAACATATGATATAGTTATATACAGTATATAGTATATCATTGTATATAGTGTTATATAAATGACCTTGTTGGCCTACCTAGAGGTAGCATATTATATAGTTTTATATATCCTGGACTTCCTGACGGGCCACCCCCAGGAGGTAAGGGTAGGTAACAACACATTCGCCACGCTGATCCTCAACACGGGGGCCCCTCAGTGATGCGTGCTCAGTCCCCTCCTGTACTCCCTGTTCACTCATGACTGCATGGCCAAGCACGACTCCAACACCATCATTAAGTTTGCCAATGACACAACAGTGGTAGGCCTGATCACCGACAACGACGAGACAGCCTATAGGGAGGAGGTCAGAGACCTGGCCGTGTGGTGCCAGGACAACAACCTCTCTCTCAACGTGATCAAGACAAAGGAGATGATTGTGGACTACAGGAAAAAGAAGAGGACCGAGCACGCCCCCATTCTCATCGACGGGGCTGTAGTGGAACAGGTTGAGAGCTTCAAGTTCCTTGGTGTCCACATCACCAACAAACTATCATGGTCCAAACACACCAAGACAGTTGTGAAGAGGGCACGACAAAACCTATTCCCCCTAAGGAGACTGAAAAGATTTGGCATGGGTCCTCAGATCCTCAAAAGGTTCTACAGCTGCACCATCGAGAGCATCCTGACTGGTTGCATCACTAACTGGTATGGCAGCAGCTCAGCCTCCGACCGCAAGGCACTACAGAGGGTAGTGCGTACGGCCCAGTACATCACTGGGGCCAAGCTTCCCGCAATCCAGGACCTCTATACCAGGCGGGGTCAGAGGAAGGCCCTAAAAATTGTCAAAGACTCCAGCCACCCTAGTCATAGACTGTTCTCTCTGCTACCGCACGGCAAGCGGTACCGGAGCACCAAGTCTAGGTCCAAGAGGCTTCTTAACAGCTTCTACCCCCAAGCCATAAGACTCCTGAACATCTAATCAAATGGCTACTCAGACTATTTGTATTGCCCCCCCCCCCCCCCCCCCCCTTTTACGCTGCAGCTACTCTCTGTTTATTATCTATGCATAGTCACTTTAATAACTCTACCTATATGTACATATTACCACAATTACCTCGACTAACCGGTGCCCCCGCACATTGACTTGGTACCGGTACCCCCTGTATATAGCCTCGCTATTGTTATTTTTACTGCTGCTCTTTAATTATTTTTCACTTTTATTTCGTATTATTTTATATATTTTTATATATTTTTTTGCATTCTTTCATAAAACTGCATTGTTGGTTAAGGGCTTGTAAGTAAGCACCCTAGTCATAGACTGTTCTCTCTGCTACCGCACGGCAAGCGATACCGGAGCGCCAAGTCTAGGTCCAAAAGGCTCCTTAACCGCTTCTACCACCAAGCCATAAGACTCCTGAACAGCTAATCATGGCTACCCAGACTATTTGCATTGTCCATTTTTTACTAAATACTTATTTTTCTTAAAACTGCATAGTTGGTTAAGGGCTTGTAAGTAAGCATTTCACTGTAAGGTCTACACCTGTTGTATTCGGCGCATGTGGCAAATAAAATTAGATTTGATTTGACTTAATGTATCAGTGATGATCCCTGCTCTTAGACCTAACATACAGTACTGTATCCAAAATGACCCCTACTGTATTCAACTGCCTGTATCTGATGTTATGATCTAAATTAGCTTTTGATCCTTTTCCTTTCTGTAGATGGAGAACTGCACTCAGCCCACAGTCATAACCAAAGATTTCTGCATGGTGTTCTGCTCTCGAGACGCTAAACTCCCGACCTCCCGATCCATCCGAAACCTGTTTGGCACCGGAAGCCTGAGGACAGCAGAGGGGTGAATTAAACATCTATTATTATTATTAGCAGAAACAATATTTTCTTCTTTTGCATTCCTGAATGATGATTATTAAATCAATTACCTTGAAATAAACCATAAAATCAAGTCTGTTACTGTTTATCTCACCACAGTAACGCCACAGTCCTTTGTGCGTGGTTGCATTCCTGAAAGATGGTGGTTAAATCAATGACCATGAAATGAACCCAGAGTTGTGTCTGTCTGCTGTTTCTTTCTCTGTCCAGTAACCGGGTGACAGGTGTGTACGAGGTCAGCTTGTGTCACCTGGCGGATCATGGGAGCCCAGGTGAGACACTTTCTCCTTTGAGCTTCCCCTTTGTCTGTGTTTCTACAACTCTTTCTCAATTCATCTTCTTGCCTCTTTCTCAAAATGCATTGGAGGAGAAGGTCCGAAGGGGAGAGGGACTGTAGTGTATTAAGATTATGACTTTGTTAATGGTTTTAAGTGGAACCTGAGAGGATGTTTATTTTAGTGTCAAGAGGGAATTGTTTTAGTGTGACGCCACATACAACAGACAGGAAGTGTGTGTTGTAGACAGGGGATTGGACAGTAGAGGGAGCCACCCATATCTTGGGAAGATTATATATACTGGGTAAAAACGAAGAAGAGGTTAGAGCGGCCATTGCAATCTGGGACGCCGCTCTCCGGGTGGTCATGACACCTGTAAAACTTATGCTGGAATCTTGTGATATGAATAAAACTTATGATCAAGGGTTCAGTATGAGCGGACTCCTTTGTTTATCAGCAATGACTAGCAACTTTGACTCGATACTACAGGACCTTGGACCTTTTTCTCCAAAACGGTTTAAAAGGAGACAAGATGCAAAGAATCCAAACAAAACTGAGACAGATAAAGCGTATTTCTGCCTGACCCCTGACCTCTTTCACCACCCCGCAGGAATGCAGAGGAGACGTCGGCGGGTGCTGGACACCTCGGTGGCGTACGTCCGCGGGGAGGAGAACCTGGCTGGGTGGAGACCTCGCAGTGACAGCCTCATCCTGGACCACCAGTGGGAACTGGAGAAACTCAGCCTCCTACAGGAGGTGTGTTGTACTACCCCCTACACATTTACGGCATTTAGCAGACGCTCTTATCCTACACCTACCACCTATTGCCATACACCTATTACCCTACCACCTACAACAGATAATTAGGAAACGGAGGACCGAAAACCCGAAAAAAGATGCAGAACGAAAAAGAAAAAGCACAACAACGAAACGAGGAGAAAAGGAACAAAAAAAAAAAGAAAAAAACAGAAAAAAAAAGAAAAAGAAAAAAAAAAAACAGAGAAAAGAAAAAAAAGAAAAAGAAAAAGAAAGAAAAAAAAAAGGACAAAACAAAAAAGAGAAAAAAAAAAAGAAAAAGAAAAAAAAAAAAGAACCAAAAACAAAAAGAAAGGGAAAAAAAAAAAAAAGGAAAAAGAAACCCCCCAAAAAAAAAAAACCCAACCAAAAAAAAAGGACCCAAAGAAAAAACCTAACCCAAAAAAACCAAAACCCAGAAAAAAAAAGAAAAAAAAACCCCAAAAAAGAAGAAAAAAACCCAAAAAACCCCAAAAAGAAAAACCCCAAAAACCCAAAAAAAGGGAAAAAAAAAAGAAAAAAAAAGAAAAAAAAAAAGAAAAAAAGAGAAAAGAAAAAAGAAAAAGAAAAGCAAGAGAAAAAAAAAGAAAATAAAAAACCCAAAACGAAAAAAAAAAGAAAACCCCAAAAAGGGGAAAAAAAAAAGAAAAGAAAAACCCGAAAAAAGAAAAAGAAAAAAAAAAAAGAACCGAAAAATAAAAAAAAGAAAAAAGAAAAAAGGAGAACCCCAAAAAAAAAAAAACTAAAAAAACAAAAAAAAGAGAAAAGAAAAGAAACCAAAAAGACCCAAACCCAAACAAAAAACAAAAAACAAAAAAAAAGAAAAGACCCAAAAAAAAAACCCAAACCAAACCCCAACACAAACCCGAGAACCAAAACAAAAACAAAACCCAAAAACCCCAACCCAAAAAAAAAAAACCCCAAACCAAAAAAAAAACCTATACCCCCTAAACAATTTCCCAATAACCCCCAAACCCATACCCTAACCCTATACCCTAACCTATACCCTAACCTAACCCTTACAAACCCCATACCCCCCTATAAACCCCAACCCTACACCCCCAAAACCCAACTTAACCCCAAAACCAACCTTACCCCCAAACCCCATCCTAACCCCAAAACCAACCCCTTACCTACCCCTATTCCCCCTACACCTACCTATACCCTACAACTAGACTACAACTTGACCCTACACCCTACTACCCCTACACTCTACTACATCTATACCCTACACTCTACTACATCTATACCCTACACCTAGAGACATCAAGATGATAAGACTGGGTGGAACTACATCTAGGGCCAGATTTCTAGACACAGGGTGGAATAGGGTAAGGTATAGGGTCTAGGGTATAGGGTAATCTGATTTCTAGACACAGATCAAACCTAGTCCTAGACTAAAAAGCATGTTCAGTGGAGCGTTCATCATGTGGTAAAAACTGGCCCCCAGAGTGTAGACGACAGAGTGTAGTTTAATAAACAAGTGAATGGTTGAAGGCTGCTTCTTAACCGTGTACTGTATGTGTATATCCATGTACTGTTGTGGTGTATGTTCATCCGGTTTGATGTGTTCTAGGTGAAAACGTGACACTACTTGCTCCTGAGTGTTAGGGTCAATTAGTTCGTTAGATATTTAGTTAGTTAGTAGTTATAGTTAGTTATGGTGTTTATCTGTTTCATTCAGGTGGTGAAAACAGACACTACTTGCTCCTGAGGGTTAGGGTTAGTTATTAGTTAGTTAGTTAGTTAGTTAGTTAGTTAGTTAGTTAGATAGATAGATAGATAGATAGATAGATTAGATAGATAGAAGATAGATAGATAGATATAGATAGTAGATAGATAGGGATAGGTAGTAGTAGTTAGTAGTCTGGTTTTTTTCGTTCAGGTGGAGAGGAGAAACCGAGGACACCTACCTACTCCTGAGGGAGAAGCTAGAGTCCACCCTGCTGCTGGGTCAGGAAGGGTTGCTGTCCTGTGTGTCTGCGGAGCAGAGTGAGTCCCCTCAGCCTTCCGAGGGCCACGCCCAGGACCTCAGCCTCAGCCACACAGCTGACGCCCCCAATGAGAGGCAGAGGGAGCTAGCCGCTAAGGTCAGTGTCTCTTCTTTAAAAAAAAAAAAACTAGTCGAATTTAGTTGTAACCTTGTTGCTTAAATTTTTCCCATTCTTCCTTGCGTGCATACCCGGGGGAAGATGTTTTGACTTTCATTGCATGCATGTGGTCCTCTGTAGCTCAGCTGGTAGAGCACGGCGCTTGTAACGCCAAGGTAGTGGGTTCGAACCCCGGGACCACCCATACACAAAAAAATATGTATGCACGCATGACTGTAAGTCGCTTTTGGATAAAAGCGTCTGCTAAATGGCATATTATTATTCATGTATAATTGCGTTTGCGTGGTGGCATACAGTTGAGCAGATACATTTGTTGGATTTCTACACGTGTGGATTATTTTGTTGTTGCATGGTCTGGAAAAAATATAGCTTTTAATAAACACATTTCATGCAATTATACATCATTTACATGATAAAAGAAATTAGCAGAGTATTTTTCAATACCACACAAATGGCCAAAATGCAGGCTACTGTGAAACTTGATATTCAGGTAGGATGCAAGTTTGTAACTTTTTTTTCTTTCTTTTTTTCGTATTTATAATAATTAGTTTTATCATTATTATTCTTGTATATCATTGTTATTATTGTAGGCCTATTTAATAATCTAAACCAGTTCTTTAAATATGCTAAACGTGTTTTGTTTCATTCTGTTGAGACATTTTCGTTGGCTAAATTAAGTTCGATCTGTCTTTTTAATTGCGTGCTCCGTATTTAGTTTAAGATAGGTTATAAGTATCCTAGGCCTTCTGTAAAATAAATGTAATTAGCCTATTGCTGTCATTTGTTGCATACGTTAGGCACTACCCTTTCTTGGTAATTGCTGCGATCTAGCCTGTTCAAAACTTTTGTGAAGGTTTAAACCGGTTCTCAAGTGTTTTTTTTATATATTCTGTTGAGCCATTGTCTTTGGCCAAAAATACTGTAATGCTGTGTTTGCCGCGATATAACATCCTGCTGGTATTTTCCCCTGTAAACAATGACTTGACTTACTTTAGATATGACCTTAATAAAGTTAAGCAACTTTTATGAAGGTTTGGTGAGGTGTTACTATTATTAGGGTTAGCTACTGCAGGCCAATGAAAGCGGTACGCACCGGCGCTCCAACTCACTCCCACAGTTGGACTTGAGGTGAGGAAGACTGTTTCAGGCCTACCGGAGTCACTCCTTTAATCTAACAATATAATGCTTATCTTTATTTTTTAAAAACGTTCTGATAGAAAAATAGAGAATTAGGCTCCTTCTTTACTCATGGGTGGATTGGGCCGTCTGGCAATTCTGCCAAATGCCAGAGGGGCCGGACCATCTTTTATTAGGGTGGGCTGGCCGAACCAGTCAAAAGTTTGGACACACCTACTAATTCCAGGGTTTTTCTTTATTTTTACTATTTTCTACATTGTAGAATAATAGGGAAGACAGGTGTGTCCAATCTTTTTACTGGTACTGTATATATATATATATATATTATATATTAATATATATATATAAATATAAATAAATATTTATATATACATTAAATCATACCACACACACATACAGGCTACAGAATAAACAGTGACACTGACTCACCCAATGATGAAAATGTGGATGAAGATGAAGCATGGGTGATGTGGATGAAGATGAGGCATGGGTGATGTGGATGAAGATGAAGCATGGGTGATGTGGATGAAGATGAGGCATGGGTGATGTGGATGCAGATGAAGCATGGGTGATGTGGATGAAAATGAAGCATGGGTGATGTGGATGAAGATGAGGCATGGGTGATGTGGATGCAGATGAAGCATGGTGATGTGGATGAAGATGAAGCATGGGTGATGTGGATGATGTTAAAGCATGGGTGATGTGGATGAAGATGAGGCATTGGTGATGTGGATGCAGATGAGGCATGGGTGATGTGGATGAAGTTAAAGCATGGGTGATGTGGATGAAAATGAAGCATGGGTGATGTGGATGAAGATGAAGCATGGGTGATGTGGATGAAGATGAAGCATGGGTGATGTGGATGATGTTAAAGCATGGGTGATGTGGATGAAGATGAGGCATGGGTGATGTGGATGCAGATGAGGCATGGGTGATGTGGATGAAGTTAAAGCATGGGTGATGTGGATGAAAATGAAGCATGGGTGATGTGGATGCAGATGAAGCATGGGTGATGTGGATGAAGATGAAGCATGGGTGATGTGGATGATGTTAAAGCATGGGTGATGTGGATGAAGATTAGGCATGGGTGATGTGGATGCAGATGAGGCATGGGTGATGTGGATGAAGTTAAAGCATGGGTGATGTGGATGAAAATGAAGCATGGGTGATGTGGATGAAGTTGAAGCAAGGGTGATGTGGATGAAGATGAAGCATGGGTGATGTGGATGAAGCATGTGTGATGTGGATGAAGTTAAAGCATGGGTGATGTAGATGAAGATGAGGCATGGGTGATGTGGATGCAGATGAAGCATGGGTGATGTGGATGAAGATGAAGCATGGGTGATGTGGATGAAGATGAAGCATGGTTGATGTGGATGAAGATGAGGCATGGGTGATGTGGATGCAGATGAAGCATGGGTGATGTGGATGAAGATGAAGCATGGGTGATGTGGGTGATGTTAAAGCATGGGTGATGTGGATGAAGATGAGGCATGGGTGATGTGGATGCAGATGAGGCATGGGTGATGTGGATGAAGATGAAGCATGGGTGATGTAGATGAAGATGAAGCATGGGTGATGTGGATGAAGATGAAGCATGGGTGATGTGGATGAAGATGAAGCATGGGTGATGTGGATGAAGTTGAAGCAAGGGTGATGTGGATGAAGATGAAGCATGGGTGATGTGGAGGAAAATGAAGCATGGGTTATGTGGATGAAGCATGGGTGATGTGGATGAAGTTAAAGCATGGGTGATGTGGATGAAGATGAGGCATGGGTGATGTGGATGCAGATGAAGCATGGGTGATGTGGAGGAAGATGAAGCAAGGGTGATGTGGATGAAGATTAAGCATGGGTGATGTGGATGAAATTAAAGCATGGTGATGTGGATGAAGATGGGTGATGTGGATGAAGTTAAAGCATGGGTGATGTGGATGAAGATGAAGCATGGGTGATGTCGATGAAGATGAAGCATGTGTGATGTGGAGGAAAATGAAGCATGGGTGATGTGGATGAAGTTAAAGCATTGGTGATGTGGATGAAGATGAAGCATGGGTGATGTCGATGAAGATGAAGCATGTGTAATGTGGAGGGAAATGAAGCATGGGTGATGTGGATGAAGTTAAAGCATGGGTGATGTGGATGAAGTTAAAGCATGGGTGATGTGGATGAAGTTAAAGCATGGGTGATGTGGATGAAGTTAAAGCATGGGTGATGTGGATGAAGATGAAGCATGGGTGATGTGGAGGAAAATTAAGCATGGGTGATGTGGATGAAGATGAAGCATGGGTGATGTGGATGAAGATGAGGCATGGGTGATGTGGATGCAGATGAAGCATGGGTGATGTGGACGAAGATGAAGCATGGGTGATGTGGATGAAGCTGAAGCATGGGTGATGTGGATGAAGATAAAGCATGGGTGATGTGGATGAAGATGAAGCATGGGTGATGTGGATGAAGTTAAAGCATGGGTGATATGGATGAAGTTGAGGCATGGGTAATGTGGATGCAGATGAAGCATGGGTGATGTGGATGAAGATGAAGCATGGGTGATGTGGATGATGATGAAGCATGGGTGATGTGGATGAAGTTAAAGATGGGTGATGTGGATGAAGTTAAAGCATGGGTGATGTGGATGATGATGAAGCATGGGTGATGTGGATTAAGATGAAGCATGGGTGATGTCGATGAAGATGAAGTTGGGTGATGTCGATGAAGATGAAGCATGGGTGATGTGGATGAAGATGAAGCATGGGTGATGTGGATGAAGATGAAGCATGGGTGATGTGGATGAAGATGAAGCATGGGTGATGTGCTCGTGCCATATCTCAAGATAAGTTACTTTGAAAAACAGTGCTGTTCGCTCACAATCGCTCATAAATTGTTGAGAAATAAATGGTTATCTTCTACAGACAAATTAGGCTTGTCTTTTCAGCAGTAGGCATTTGCTTTCCAAACGGTAGACCTACGTTTTTTCTCGTGATTTTATTTAGAAATGTGTGAAAGGCAAACTCACAGCCTCAACCAACCATAGAAATGTAATCCATAGATGGCAGTTCCCATTAAAGTCAGGACTGGCAGCCATTGCTAGTGTACCCATGAGTTTAACAGCCAAAGGACCAGGGTTAGAGGTTCCAAAACCCTTCTATGGATTATATCTATGGCCACAATGCAACAATCTGTTCTATATTTGGTGTGTGTGACTGCCCAAATTGTGGCCTTCCAGTCTGTAAAACCTACATAGACACGCTATTGATCCTTGGTAGCTAAATTGTGCTCTCTGGTGTAGTATTTTGAATTATTACTGTCTGTTCAGACAGGAGTAATATCATTTTGGGGTAGTTCAATTTATCAGCTGCAGCACCCCTACTTCCTGTGGCTCAGGAAATGGTTTCCTGTGTGAGTGACCCTTTTTAAACGTTATCTGTCTGCCAAGTTAAGCCTTCTCCTCAGGGAACCGTTCTGAGTTTTCTGTAAAGCCCATTGCTCTGAGACCTAAAGTGATAGAGGTTTGTCTCTCTGTCACTCACCAGTGCCTGCGGCTGCTCTCCCACTCCTTCAACAGAGAGTACAGCCACGTGTGCGTCAGCGCCAGTGAAGGCAAGGTGGGCTTCCTCCTGTGTCACTTCACTATGATGCTTTTCATGTCTGTATACTGTTTGAAGTACTTAGATATGAGTGGGGATATGACGTGTTCATTTTTCTCAGTGAACTTTTTCCAGACAAGTGTTTTGACATGCTGTATATGTGTGTGTGTGTGTGTGTTTGTGTGTGTACATGTGTGTGTTTGTGTGTGTGTTTGTGTGTATGTGTGTGCGTGTGTTTTGACATGCTGTTGTGGTGTGTGTTTCCAGCTGTCTGAAATGTCAGTGACTCTGCTGAGGGAGTCGACCTCTGCCACGACCCTCAACACCCTCACCCCCTCCTCGACGTGGCCCTCACTGGTGGAGGGATGCTACCCCAAGACTGAAGCGCTCAGGTCAGTAACAACACACTTCTGCTGCCATTACACACAACACCAACAGACTCAGGGCTGCTATGGCAACACTAATCTCTTGTGGATGGTTTCACGTAACATAGGATGGTTTTGGAATGCGAGGACTAACGAGGAACTTTGTTTTCCGGGGGCGCAGATTCTTTCAAAATCATGATTCTGCAGGGTTTTTTCGCGTTTCAGAAGGGGAGGGGATATTTGGCTCAAGCTTTATCTCCCCAGCACATAATACAGCATCTGACAAAATTATTAGATTTTAGTTCTGGGTTTCTGAGATTATGGCATGACTGAACTCAGATCAGACCTAAGATACCTCTGTCCTGCCACCACACGCAACACCTACAGACACCTACCAGAGGAGGCTGGTGAAGGGAGGACGGCTCATAATAATTAATGGATGGAATGGAATGGAGTAAATGAACTAGTATCAATCACATGGCAAACCAGGTGTTTGATGCCATTCCAATTATTCCGCTCCAGCCGTTGCCATGAGCCGGTCCTCCCAATTTAAACCGGCCATCACTGACACCTACTGTGTCAGCAGGTAGCTTAGTGGTTAAGAGCGTTGTGCCAGTAACAGAAAGGTCGCTGGTTCTAATCCCCGAGCCGACTAGGTGAAAAATCTGTCGATGTGCCCTTGAGCAAGGCACTTAACCCTACTAATTGCTCCTGTAAGTCGCTCGGGTTAAGAGCGTCTGCTAAATGACTAAAATGTAAAATGTACTGTGACCTGCTATGTATTGCACTCACAGTTGGAAGTGTACATGGTTGTCAGTATGCCTTCTAGCCACCACCTTCATTGTATGTCAGGCTGTCTATCCCATAGAGATAGCTAGAAGACTCATCTCTGTATCTGTGCCATTATTGGCATCTGTGACAGCATGAGCAGCGCCATTGAAGCAGCAGGGAAGGCCTGGTTGTAGCTAGATATGTTTGCGTCACAGTTTTCCTAACCTGCAACGTTAATTCTCCTAACCTCCTAACGTAGCAGGTTCTCCTAACCTGCTACGAAAAGTCACTTCTGCTATTCAAAACCGGCAGACCTGCCCTGAGAACAGTTTTGGTTTCCACTAATGCGATGTTCCGCCATTGAGGCCATCTCCATTTTAAAGTAGTATATTTTCGTATTATTTTGTGTAAAAAAAAAAAAGTGTAAAGCTAATATTGGTGATTTACTGCCACCTGTAGTGCTGGAGTCCTGAACCAAATCTTGTGTGCCATTAATTTATTGTGGCCAGTAGATGGCGGTGATATAGCTTAAAGGCGTTTACAAACCATACCACCTCATTTGAAGAAGACAATGCTCTGATCATTAGCTGATTGCTCCCAACCCCATATGAATCCCCACGCAGTTAACTTCTTTAAAATGGTGGAAGCCCTCAATGCCAATATCCATGCTAAAATGGGTTGTATCCAAGATGAGTGCTCTGACTAGCTCTATGGTCTATCCCCACATGGAAAACTTTTCTTCCTCCGTCTCTCCCCCAGAGCCTCCAAGCTTCTCTCCCGCTGTGCCAGCCCCAACCCTGACTGCTCACAGCGGGACGGAGAGGTACAGAAGTCCCCTGGTGGGGTCGCCGCCCCGGAGGTTAAACCCAGGGTGCGTCGCTTTGTACCAGACATCCAAGAGATCCGGGTCAGGTGAGGGGTTCCAGAGATTGGTTGATTTGATTTATTGATTGATTGATTGGTTGATTGATTTATGGTTTAGTAAATTTGGTGGAATTGACCTCATCATAGTGCTTTTCACACTACTCGGCCAAAACGCTCCAAACTCTACTGAGAATTTTTTATTTATTTTCTTTTTCTTTTATATTTTGTAGTCTATTTTATTATTTTTTTTATTTTTAATTTTTTTTTTTTGTTTGTTTTTAAAAAAAATTTTAGTCATTTAGCAGACGCTCTTATCCAGAGCGACTTACAGTTAGTGAATACATTTTTTTTTTTTATACTGGCCCCCCGTGGGAATCGAACCCACAACCCTGGCGTTGCAAACGCCATGCTCTATCAACTGAGCTACATCCCTGCCGGCCATTCCCTCCCCTACCCTGGACGACGCTGGGCCAATTGTGCGCCGCCCATGAGATGACCTGGTTACCTATCCACCATAGTTGCTGCTCGCGTCCTGAAAACAACAATGTGAAAAATTAAATATCAGATCCAGCAAAGTAGTTCGGGTCGGCATGATAGTGAAAAGTAAACAAGTGTAGTAATCTTGATCTTCCCACCAGCCCCATCGTGTCAAAGAAGGGCTACCTGCATTTCCTGGAGCCTAATACCAACGGCTGGGTGAAGCGATATGTGGTGGTGAGACGGCCGTACGTCTACATCTACAACACAGAGAGAGACAGCGTGGAGAGAGCCATCCTCAACCTATCCTCTGCCCATGTCGAGTATAGCGAGGACCAGCAGGCCATGCTTAAGGTTGGTACCCTTTTACCTGCTGATACACCTTTACACACCTTTACACACCTTTATCTGACACCCAAACCTAGCACATTTACACACCTTTACACACCTTTACACACCTTTACACACCTTTACACACCTTTATCTGACACCCAAACCTAGCACCTTTACACACCTTTACACACCTTAACCTGACACCCAAACCTGACACCTTTACACACTTTTACACCCTGTTTCCTGACACCTTTACTTAAAAGCTGTACACATCTTTACCCGACAACTTTACACACCTTCACCTGACACCTTTACACACCTTTACACACCTTTACACACCTTAACCTGACTCCTTTACACACCTTTACACACCTTAACCTGACTCCTTTACACACCTTTACACACCTTAACCTGACTCCTTTACACACCTTTAGCCGACACCTTTACACACCTTAACCTGACTCCTTTACACACCTTTACACACCTTAACCTGACTCCTTTACACACCTTTAGCCGACACCTTTACACACCTTAACCTGACTCCTTTACACACCTTTACACACCTTAACCTGACTCCTTTACACACCTTTACACACCTTAACCTGACTCCTTTACACACCTTTAGCCGACACCTTTACACACCTTAACCTGACTCCTTTACACACCTTTACACACCTTAACCTGACTCCTTTACACACCTTTACACACCTTAACCTGACTCCTTTTACCACACAATGTTTGAGGAGTGTCCTCCATCAACTGCTGTTTTCAGATCTCACCATAAGTTTTGGATGTGATTCAGATCTGGACTCTTAACTGGCCAATCCAGAACAGTCCAGCATCTCTTCTTGAACCATTCCTAGGTGTTTTTTTTTTTATGTGTGTTTGGAGTCGTTTTCCTGCTGGAAGACCCACAACTGCCAATGAAGACCCTGTTTTTGGACACTGGGTTAAACATTGGACTCCAAAACACCTGATAATGTGCAGATATTGTGACGCCTTGCGCATTTTTAAGGCCCCCAGTAGCAGAGGCAGCAAAGCCATGTTAGATTGTAGGTAGGGTGTTATTATCATTGAACGCTTCATTTGATTGTCTGTAAACACAGCGCTGATCTGTATTGCAAAGTGCTCCAATTTTTGTTTCGTTAGTCCACAAAACATTTCCCCAAGGATTTAGCCTCTGGTGCTGGGGGCCCTTGAACGTGTGCAAGACATCATGAAATCAGTAGATTATAAAGTTGTTTTAGAGTCCAATGTTTAACCCAGTGTCCAGAAACTGTGTGTCTGTTGAAGGTTGTGGATCTGCTAGCAGGACAAACAAACCTAAACACAACAATCAAAAGCACCCTGGAATGGTTCAAGAAGAAAGGCTGGACTGTTCTGGAGTGGCCAAATGAAGAGTTCAGATCTGAATCACAGCCATGAGATATGGCAAGAGCTGAAAACAGCCGTTGGTTGAGAGCATCCTTTAAACATTGAAGAATTGGAGCAATTTGCTGCTGAAAAGTGAGGCAATTTGCCAGTAGAAATGTGCAGCAAGCTCATTGATGGCTACAAGAAGAACTCATCTGCAGTTATCTTGGCCAAAGGCTGTGCAACCAAGTACTAGCTCCGGGTGCCAATCATTTGTTTTTATTTTCTAAATTAAAATTGTAAAATTAAATTTACAAAAATAAAATTGGTTCTGCAATGTTGAAAATCCAATAACAACGTGTGGAGAACAATTTTCTTTTTCAATTTCGACTTATTTGAAAAGAAATAGGGAATTATTTAAGAAAAGTGCAAGGGTGCCAATATATTTGGCCGCAACTATATGTACTGCATTTGAAAAGAGGATGGCATGTTTTTCCCCTCCTCTCTCCTCTTCCTACTTCCCCCCCCCAAACGTAAGCAGCTCTGGGCAGCTGGCTGGTTTTAACAGTACTGTACCTCTGCTTGTTTCCCCCAACTGGGCAGCTGGCTGGTTTTAACAGTACTGTACCTCTGCTTGTTTCCCCAACAGACCCCAAACACGTTTGCTGTGTGTACGGAGCACCGTGGCATACTGCTCCAAGCCAGCAACGACAAGGAGATGCACGACTGGCTCTATGCCTTTAACCCTCTCCTGGCTGGATCCATCAGGTAACACGGCTGATACACAAACGTTTTTTTTAGTTTTTCCTTAATAAAGAATAATAATAATGAATTGAATTTGTATAGCACCTTTTTAATATAGCGTCTTTCTACCAACGAAGGTACTCAAAGTGCTTTACATAGTACGAGGGAAACTCACCTCATCCACCACCTTCACTCTTACTAGCATTTGGTTTTTGCACATAGCCGCTATTTTGAAGAATGTCATCATTGCAATGATTGTGATCGTATGTGTTTAAAAAAAAAATCTACTTTAGTTTAATGCACTGATTGTAAGTTGCTCTGGATAAGAGTGTCTGCTAAATTAACAAAACGATGTCAAATGTAATTGTAAACTTTAAAATCCCAGTTGAATTATAACTTTAAAGGAGTACTCTTTTCAAATACTTGTTTCGATGTACCGCGTGTTGGCTTTCGCTAAGGACCGCCTAGTCTCGGAAGTACCAATCAAAAAACGTCTGTTGGAGACAGACAGACAGAGCGGCGAATGAGGTGAGACCCTAAGTTCCATAAAAGGAGCCACTCTCCCGCCCTCTGGTTATTCTCACTTCTCTTCCTCGCCAGAAGAGTGTCACTACTCTAGCTCTCCTCACATCGACTGGATACCTGTTGCCTGCTTACCTGCTCACAAGCGAACTGTGAAGGATATTGCTGCTGAGCGTAGGTCTTCAGACCCTGTTGAGAGGTTCAGTACTAACCAGAATATTTTTTTTTCCGAGTAGAAATTCCCTTTTCTACTTCTCAGTCTCCGTTGGTCCGTTCAACCTGACCTCTTTTATTGTTGGGTTTTCAGGCTGAGTTACTGGAGGAGGAGGGGGGGGGGAGCAACTGGACTCAGACACCCTAGACCCAGATGCTTGGGAGGAGATTGGACGGAGATCTGAACCTCCCTGCCTCCCGTAGTGCCATCCAAGGCTGTTGCCATACCATGAGCCAGAACGAGCACTTTGGCTGAGCTTATCCAGCTTAACAAACAAAAAAGAAAGTGGTCCTCCTCGACGCCCCAGTGACACCCAAGGAGTTGTTCGGGCCCACTGTCGCCGCCATGCGGAAGAAGTGTGAAATGCGCAAAAAAGGAAAGCGAAGCCTTTAACTTCTGCCTGCCCCGCAGACAAGGGCCCCGTGGCAGCCCGTTGGTTCCTGCATCTCGCCCCAGCGTCACAGCTTGGAGGGGGCAACAAGTTGGCCTTTGGGGACTGAGGTCCCCGGCGAAGCAGCAGTCTGCCAAGACTCAGGCCCCTGAACCAGGCCAAACCTGTAGGGAAGCAGTCTTTTACGCTGCAGCCGCGGCAAGGATCCGCCCTTCTATCCCTCCTATGGGGTGGTAAGAAAGGTTGGCCAACTTAGGGGGCGCAGCCATGGCGGCTGAGGAGGGTGGTGTGCAAGGCTTATGGCTCTCTGCCCTACCCCCTCTCTTCTGGTTTAACGGTTGCTACTCCTTCTCCTCTCTCAGGCTCTCCTCCCTTAGGCTCTCCTCCCTTAGGCTCTCCTCCCTTAGGCTCTCCTCTCTCAGGCTCTCCTCTCTCAGGCTCTCCTCCCTTAGGCTCTCCTCCCTTAGGCTCTCCTCCCTTAGGCTCTCCTTTCTCAGGCTCTCCTCCCTCAGGCTCTCCTCCCTTAGGCTCTCCTCCCTCAGGCTCTCCTCCCTCAGGCTCTCCTCCCTTAGGCTCTCCTTTCTCAGGCTCTCCTCCCTCAGGCTCTCCTCCCTTAGACTCTCCTCCCTCAGGCTCTCCTCCCTCAGGCTCTCCTCTCTCAGGCTCTCCTCCCTTAGGCTCTCCTTTCTCAGGCTCTCCTCCCTTAGGCTCTCTCTCCGGCGCCTTCTCAGGTTCTCAGCCAGGGCCAGAAGTCAGCAAGCACTCCCTCCGGTCTCACCGACATACACGGAGCAGGGTGGTAATCTGTCTTTTGCTGTGGCCTTGTTTTCCCGGTGCCTTTTTTGCCTCTGACTGCTATGGCGTGAGCTATCACAGTCAAGCTAGTTAGAGTATAAGCCGCTCCGGTTTCCCGCCAGAGCTGCTACTCTGAACCCTAACCACTCCGTCACTCATTCTATGGGAGGACAGGTTTCCAGGGTTCAGCCCTTTTTAGGATTCTGAGGGGCGTTTTTGACCTCCACTTGGCAAAGACGACTTGGCTCTGTTATGGAGATCAGTGAGTATAGTTATTCCTGGCTTTACTTTCTGGATCTCAGGGAAAAGGGGAGGGGGTGGTGCCCTCACAGGCGTCAGAGACCCAGACAGTTATCTCACAGGCGTCAGAGACCCAGACAGTTATCTCACAGGCGTCAGAGACCCAGACAGCTATCTCACAGGCGTCAGAGACCCAGACAGTTATCTCACAGGCTTCAGAGACCCAGACAGCTATCTCACAGGCGTCAGAGACCCAGACAGCTATCTCCCAAGTACACAAAGCCTCTGCATTTCCTCCGCCAGTTTTTTACTGCGATTGGTTCATGCAACCAGGCTACTGCCTGCTCTACCTCCCCATCTCACGGGAGATGACAGACCAGTGATGTAATGGTCTTATTGTCCAGGCTGCAGTTGCTTCCTTCTTCCTTCGACTATATTGCCGGATGTTTTTATGTCGTGGCGCTGGCTGCTCCGTTCTGAGAGAGCCCTCTTCCCGTATCTATCCACGCTGACTTACAGCACCCTGGTAGAAGTGACGATCCGATAGGGCTAGGGGAGGCCACACCCTATAACACGGTGACCATGCCATTTGGGGTGAAAGAGCTGACACACCCAGGAAAGGTGGGTGATGCCATATGCTTTCCCTCCTCATCTTTGAGCCCCTCGATGACCAGTGATTTTCTGGTCGGCAGTTACAACTCTGCTTACGACCAGTCCTGGCAGCTATCATCATGCAGGGTGTATACCCTAGTGAACAAAAGCAATTCTCCATCGTGACCCGGATGATTTAGCCTTCGGGGCATAGCCGGCGAGGAAAAATGAAAAAAATGGATGGAGAGGTTGATTTTTGTTGTGCTTTTTGCCACTTTCTCGGCCTGCCAAGGCCCCGACAGTGATACAGTTCATCCATAACTGTTGTGTCTACTCTAAGAGGGCCACGCCACTTATGCTCAGTCTCTAAGTTTTTAGCTCGACGTGGGATGCAACTATTGTGCTTATAATCCTTTCACAGCAGCTTTGGCCGCTTGAAAAGCGCAGAGACGTCATATTCCTCCTTCTTTCACTTTACTGCTACCCTTGGCGTAGACTGTGCTCTCCCAGCGTTTTTCAGGTTAGTTACCTAACCTCGTTGTTGTCCCGGGTCGACTCTTTCCAATTGTCACACCTTGAAGCCTTTGGCTTTTACCCTGTAGCTTTCCCTAGAAGGACACTCCCTGTCGTTGTCCAGTGTGTGCGGTTCGGATTGTAGGACAACTCCGGGGCAAGTGTGTCTTTTTGACTGTATCCTGACGATTCATGGGGACCATTGTATTTATCTTAGGAAGGGCCCTCTACTACACAGGAGTTGACCTCATGGGACATGTCTCATTATGCTGAGATTGGAGCCTTGTACTGGGCTGTCCCCCACATTCGGAAAGCGTTCAGACCCATTTACTTTTTCCACATTTTGTTACGTTACAGCCTTATTCTAAAATTGATTAAATTGTTTTTTCTCCTCATCAATCTACACACAATACCCCATAATGAGAAAGCAAAAACAGGTTTTTAGAAATGTTTGCACAATTATACATTAAAAAAAATGAAATAGCACATCTACATAAGTATTCAGACCCTTTACTCAGTACTATGTTGAAGCATCTTTGGCAGTGATTACAGCCTTGAGTCTTCTTGGGTATGATTCTACAAGCTTGGCACCCCTATATTTGGGGAGTTTCTCCTAGTCTTCTCTGCAGATCCTTTCAAGCTCTGTCAGGTTGGATGGGGAGCGTCGCTGCACAGCTATTTTCAGGTCTCTCTCTGTACTTTGCTCCGTTCATCTTTGCCTCGATCCTGACTAGTCTCCCAGTCCCTGCTGCTGACAAACATCCCCACAGCATGATTCTACCACCACCATGCTTCACCGTAACGATGGTGCCAGGTTTCCTCCAGACGTGATGCTTGGCATTCAGGCCAAAGAGTTCAATCTTGGTTTCATCAGACCAGAGAATCTTGTTTCTCATGGTCTGAGAGTCCTTTAGGTGCCTTTTGGCAAACTCCAAGCGGGCTGTCATGTGCCTTTTACTGAGGAGTGGCTTCCGTCTGGCCACACTACCATAAAGGCCTGATTGGTGGAGTGCTGCAGAGATGGTTGTTTTTCTGGAAGTTTCTCCCATCTCCACAGAGAAACTCTGGAACTCTGTCACAGTGACCATGGGGTTCTTGGTTACCTCCCTGACCAAGGCCCTTCTCCCCCCATTGCTCAGTTTGGCCGGGCGGCCAGGTCTAGGAAGAGTCTTGGTGGTTCCAAACGTCTTCCATTTAAGAATGATGGAGGCCCCTGTGTTCTTGGGGACCTTCAATGCTGCAGAAATGTTTTGGTACCCTTCCCCAGATCTGTGCCTCAACACAATCCTGTCTCGGAGCCCTACGGACAATTCCTTCGACATCATGGCTTGGTTTTTGCTCTGACATGCACTGTCAACTGTGGGACCTTATATAGACAGGTGTGTGCCTTTCCAAATCATGTCAAATCAATTGAATTTACCAAAGATGGACTCCAATCAAGTTGTAGAAACATCTCAAGGATGATCAATGGAAACAGGATGCACCTGAGCTCAATTTTGAGTCTCATAGCAAAGGGTCTTGAATGCTTACGTAAATAAGCTATTTCTGTTTTTTATTTGTCATACATTTGCAAACATTTCTAAAAACCAGTTTTCGCTTTGTCATTATGGGGTATTGTGTGTAGATTGATGAGGGATATTTTCTATTTAATCAATTTTAGAACAAGGCTGTAACGTAACAACATGTGGGAAAAGGGAAAGGGTCTGAATACTTTCCGAATGCACTGTAGTTATGAGGTTTTTCCTGAAGGGGCTGTCTCTGCACCTTCCTGCTGCACACTCCCTTCGTTTCAGGACCTCTGACGGTTGCTACGTTGGGACTTCCCTGGCTTCGGAGAGCATATGTCTTTGCGATAAGGAAGTTGGCCATATCCCCACTTGATACATATTAACAAGTATTTGAAAGAGAACTTGCGTAACCAGGTTCTCTGATTAATATGAATGAGATGTATCACCACATTCCCCTGCTCACGAGAGCTCGAGGAAGAGAAGCAGGCTTGAGAATAACCAGAGGGCGGGAGAGTGGCTCCTTTTAATGGAAGTGAGGGTCTCACCTCATTCGCCCCTCTATCTGTCTGTCTCCAACAGACGTTTGTTATTGGTACTTCCAAGAGTAGGCGGTTCTTAGCGAACCCCCGCACGCGATACATCTCACTGATATTATCAGAGAAACCGTGGTTACGCAAGTAACCTTACGTTTATCCACTGTATGTTATTATTCATATGTTGTGATGCCTGGTAGTCACAGTAAATGTGAACAAAACTGTATCGTTGGTATTTTGAATCAATATGTATTCTCTCCCCCTTGTTTCCACCAGATCAAAACTCTCCAGAAGGAGAGCTGGACAGATGAGGATGTGACACAAACAATCGAACGACACACGTCTTATAAAGAAGATTGAAAACATTAGAACACAAAGAGACTAACCTGTATATAGATCCCAGATCCCAGATCCCAGATCCCTTATTACTCCTTTACTCCTGCGCTGACCCCTGACCCCCTACATCCTACACTAGTAACTAAACTTGCTCCTCCTCCTTCTGCACACGCCCAGTTTATCACAAGCAGACCACCAGTGTATCCAAGGCCCTGAGGCCTCCAGCATCGTTGTACGTCTGTCAGGCCTGTACCACTGCCTGTCTGTGTGGCCTTTATCATCTGGTTAACCCCTCTCCAAGGCTGAGTGTTGCTGATGACCACCATACAGTACATCATAATGCTAGTCTATAAAATAGGGAACCGCTAACTAACTATCCCTTCGTCCCCTTAGTCAGCTCCGAGAGGTAAGGAGGAGGTTTTGGCCTGCGTTCCAAATGTCTGTCAGGCCTGTACCACTGCCTGTCTGTGTGGGCTTTATCATCTGGTTAACCCCTCTCCAAGGCCGAGTCCCAAATGGCACCCTATTCCCTATATAGTGCGCTAAGGGGTAGGTAGTTAGCAGTTCCCTATTTTACAGACTAGCATTATGATGTACTGTTTGGTAGTCATCAGCAACACGTTGAGCTTTATTAAATAACACATTTATTCCATCAGGAAAGAGAGAAAAAAATTAAAATCAGCAGTTGTTGACAGTAAATCGCTCTGTCTAAAGC